GAGCTTTAGATATATACAAGCACTGCTCGTGTGTCTGAACTACCTTCAGAGCTTTGATTGCAATTCATTGTTTTACTTTTCCCCTTCACAGGTTCGACAGTCTGAACGATAACGGCCGCAAAGGCCCTAAGTCCTTCCGTATGTCATGTCTGTTGCAAAGCGTGGTCTACGAAAGTAGCACTCGATCGCCACATCCAGTGTCACGCCACGGTGAAGCCATTCAAGGTGCGAAGAATGTGCCGAAAGGTTCTCGAGTGTGCTGTTGCTCAAGCGCCACATAAAGCGTCACACGGGTGCCCTCATGTACAAGTGCCCGCAGTGTGACAGGGAGTTCGGCATGGTGACACACTTCAAGAGCCACGTCCAATCTCATGCGGGACTGAAGCCCTATTCGTGCCGAATTTGTGGGCGCGCGTTTGCCCGCAAATGCCACTGGTCAAGGCACGAGATAATTATGCATGGAAAACGGTAGTGTTCAGCCGTCGCACTTTAGTACAGGTGTTGAGGACATACGAGGAAGGACGTCCGTGCATCTCAGGAATCATACGCCCTGGCTTTATTTGGATAACGCCACACGTGACGCTTAGTCACCCGAATAAACTAAATCCGATTTCACTGAGCGCATGACGATAGTGATCGTTTACTTTGATTTAATTCTATCAGCATGTCTCGAAGCACCGTTTCGCCAGCCATTTAAAGATAATTATTACGTAACCTTGAAGAACAATCTTGGAATACAATGCGTTGTCAGGGTAATTGGTTGACGAATATTTTCCAGTATTATGATGCACTGAAGTACCAAGTGAGACTACGGGTGAGTAACAGGTGCACGACTTTCATGTCAGTGTAGATTTCTCACATGAGAATACCATGCAATAATCGTTAAGACCTGAAAGATATTCGTGGTATGGGTAAGTCAGTTCTGCAGCATTCTTCGAAAGGGAGAAAAAGCAATCCAGGGGAATACCCTTTTGTAGCTCAGAGGAACATAGAAGTTTTATTATTTTCTCAGAAAAAGAGGCTTCCTGGATAACAGGATCATTGAAAATAGTGAGTAAAAGAGCCATACCTTTTATGTGGCCAACGGACTCAATTGCAAATCCAAGGCTACACTAAATTTCATTTATTAACTTATACCCTCATCGCCAAAGACATGACAAAGAACAGTTAACAAGATAGGTACACAATACAGTGAAAAATGCAGGGAACACATATGTACAAGTTGCTCGGAAAATTAAAAAGTGTTATCCATTTTTTTTATTATATATGGTCCTTAATAGGGGGGATGGTTCAGGGAAGGTGGTTCCAATTCAGTGATCATTATCATAACCTTAAGGGTATTCCATTAAGTAAAACATCAATATGCTGCACATTGTGGCTCCCTACTACAAGAGCGCCATCGCCGGCCCACTTGATTAATTATCTGGCATTTGCAATTTTGCATTCGTCCAAGAACAAAAAGCACCGGTCCTTCTCCGTGTGAGTCATGATGTCACATATTGAAATAATCATAGGTTATGACAGACCACTCACTTTTTTACATTAAAATTTTGTGTGTCAAGACGTGCGTCACTACATAACGTCTCACGATGGCGTCATGAACTTTCATCGTGCACCCGCACACTGTTGGGGCACTCTCTGAGGCAATGGGATGTCACTGAGGCACAGCGATGTGTAGTGGAGCAGTCCGCCTTTGTCCGTCTTTGACGTTTTACCAAGTCGGTGGAGCGCAGGCGCTGCCTTGGTGCGGCCATGCGTGGCAAGTATTGGTCGACCGCACAGTGTTGGAATGTCCGAAGAGCAGTGCACCCATACAGGAAGACTATGAATTGGGGAATGTGACTGCATTCATCAGTTGGTTTGGTCATCCGCCGTCACAAAATAGAATTACTCCGGTTTATTTTATTTCTTATAAAAACAACTTGCCTCTAGCCGGAACTGAAGGACAAGACTTCACAATCGGTCATTCTGTGGTAACGACAGCAAATGCAAACAATTTCGGTTTCAACGTGCAGCTGATTCAATGCGGCAGCTCTCACCCTCACAAGAATGTGAATGATAATATTAACATTGCTAAAAGAAACACCACGTATATTTTCTCCAACAAGCAGTGTATCATGCATATCATGAATAAAGTATTACATTTTGACTGAAAAGGAGTCGGTACAATTTTTCGAATAATTACTTCGCGAATATTTGTACAATATGTACAAACATACTCGGGCGTAAACGTTTAGTACCGTGTAAAGGTATAGTATTTTTTTTAATGAAACAAGCGATTAACAGACAGATAGGATAATAAACCATGGGAGATAAATTATAAACCTCTCTGCAATGAAGTGCTCCTTTTATGATTTAAGGATAAGTTGATTTCAAATTTCCGTTAATGAATATTTCATTGAAATTTACAGTCTCAAACGAAAATAAATGACATTTTTTTTTCATATCGCTAATTTAAAGACCGCGTCATATTGCCTACACTTGACCGGGAAAGCTTTACTAGTTGTAGTGGTGATTGTGAACCTTGCTGTAATTATCTCAGTGATACAGTGGTTGGTGTAGACGATTTGTGTCAGCTTTGCTTGATGTCAGCCTCCACAACTAGCACACGTAAGACCAAAACAGTATGGCTACGGCCCTGGCGAAATATTGATGGAGGGGCGATAAGGTTGATGGTTGTATGCCGCTGGCCAGTGAAGATAACCATGTCTGTGCTTATTCACATGTCTTATCTGCCCAAATATTGTGTTCGCTATGGCTTCGCGACTTTCTTAGTGAAATGACACCAATACTTGTAGTATACCTCTAAAGTGACTGCTATTGCGCGAAGACACAGAACGGAATGATAACGGAACGGGCAGTGTCCTACCAGCGTTTTATGCGACGGCTAAAGATGGCATTGGTATTACCAGCTACTTGTTAATGCGTGATAACAAAGACAGTTTCAAGAAAACTGAAACACGAGATAATGCTTTTAGCATATATGTCCATGCTACCATTCTCAAAACGAGCGATTTTTTAAAACATATCTTTGCAGTGGAACCACTGCTGTTGTAAAGCATAATGCACGAGAATTTATTATTTGCAATATATTCAAGTGAAATTCAGGATATTCACCGTGTCTTAAATTATAAAAGTAAAAACTCAATAAAGAATCAATTATACTTGGTGCATTTTCAAATGAAACAAAGGGAGAAGCAATAACACTTTTTAAAATATACAGTCCTGATATATGTGTGCCGCCTTCGTTGCTCGTACGTTTCTTTTAGCCCAGACACAATGAATGTTATCGGAGCCATGTTCGTGTTGCTATCAGGCATGTCGTACATGTCGTATCACGTAAACACTGGAGCTTCCGTATGCGTCACAAACGACAACGTATGTTCACATTGAGCCCTTTGGTAAAGTAGGTTCTTTAGGTCAGACGATTCACCACTGTGAACGTGCTCCGCACTCTTCCTACAAATGTTGTAGCGTAGCCTTTAAAATCTTTCGCAGTGGCTGGGCTAGATGAAAGACATGACGCCAGGTCTGCTTTCATGTCGGGCCCTGGTGTGAGCTAGGGCAGCCAGTTCATTTAGCTTCCAGAAACACCTGGTCTGCCCTCTGAAAGCAACTTGAAGCATCGCTATGTTTGTATTGCATCACTTATCAAAGAGGCACTAATGACCTGTAAAAACGCAAAAAAAAAACATATCGAGGAAGGCTGTGGGGGCGTTTTAAGTGCGAGGCATTTCTCTGCGCACTGCAAGCACTTTTGGCAACCATTTACGTGTCTATCTATCTATCTATCTATCTATCTATCTATCTATCTATCTATCTATCTATCTATCTATCTATCTATCTATCTATCTATCTATCTATCTAGCCGCTTACGCCTGGGTGCTCACGTGATCCCTCCCTTGACTTCGGGTAAAAGAAAGTTAGCGTAGGTAGTAGTGATAACTTCACGAATACGACTCGCTGCTCATGACATTAATAATGTCAAAATCCCGCTGCGCATTTCGTCAAACTATTTCCGCCAGACAGTGGCACATTCATGTGGTCGAATATGTGCCACTTGTATGCGGGCATGTGTCACAGGTAATTGGCACTTTATATCTACCCTAGAACTGTGAAAACACACATAAGTAATTTTAACACGTGATGGTTAAAGGAAAAGCTGACATTGGCTGCGTTTGCCCGACGAATCTAAAGCAAAATATGTCAGGGTCGCATCAAGAATCAAAGCCCAGCTTTCTACATCAAAACCAAGTATTCCACCACAGAACCACGTCAGGTCTCGATACTTTTTCCCCATATATGGTAATGTTGAAGAAGCGTAAACTGGGGATGTAGTGGTGGCATGCACGGATGCACAGATGCATCATTTATTGTGCTGTCGTATACTTGATTGCATATAAGTTTGGTTGTTTCTGTATATGTTTCTGTTTTTTGTAGTGAAGGTTATCAGTTTTGGTCTGGGTTTTGTGGGCCGTATTGGGCGTGAACTATAGGTCGTCCCTAAGAAGCATGGTTCCTGAAAACTCACGTCGGCAGCGTTGACCTAACGGTCCTAGCAGGAAACCCTAACTGAGAACCAGGTGTCTGTCCGACGCAATATGTGCCCGGCCAAAGTCGACTTCTTTCTCTCGATGTTAACGAGAACATTGACTACACTCACGTCCTAACGAGAACTTTTTGGGTTCAAGATAACTACATTCTTTACTATGAATAACCACCATGATGTAACAGCCAAAGCTACCTATACCGGGCACTTGAATAACCACCCACGCCACAATTCGGGCGAGTACACATTACATGCCTATAAACTTTTCCAAGTAAAACCAAGGTACGCGCATAGGTTATCAGCGAACGCAAAAGAACGAGTCATCTAACGACATCGTTATCTTTTGGTGGCCACCTTAACAAGTACTTGTGGGTGATACGAGCGAGGTGATAAGGAGCTCAGTATCGTCCAACGCCCAAAAGTTGCTGTTACGGCAGGGGTGCTACTCCTACTTCGTCGAATGTTGAGAGTGGTGCCGGTCACTGCACGTTCGCCCTTGAGCAACGAGGGTACTGAGGAATACACACTGTACTTGTGCCCTTGATGGCCTGTTCGCGGGGATGGGTGGTCGTCGTGGCGGCCTCCACCATCAATTTATTTACGCTGGCCTTGATGCGGTCGGGTGCCATTGTTTACGTGGAAATCGCCAGCGAGTTCGGAGTATCTCGAGCGGACGCTTCTTGGCCAATGTGCCTGGCCACGGTCTTCAACTTGTTAGCAGGTGAGTCGGTCAATTCACACGCCCGTCTTAACACAAATGATAATGCTTTCAGAATGAAGGAGGTTTACGTGTCAAAAGTACGGTTTATGAGGTAAGATGTTATGGAGAGCTGCGCAAATTTCGACCACCTGATGCTTTTTAATGCGCACTGGCATCATTCACTCTTTCGGACTCTGGTATTTCATCTGCGTGACAATAGTGAATGTAACGTCTGGGATACAATCCCAGTCGCAATTGTATCCTGGATGGTGGCTCACTGATCCCACCTGCAGTGTTTTCTTTCTGGCCGGTGTTGTTCGAATGGTAAAATTGCTGTAAAGCTTGGTAACATATTCGAGCGATATGAGGCGCTACATGTGCACCCACCAATAAATCTCTATATACTGCTTATCCAAAGACGTTGAAGAATAATGGATGTGGCTCACAAGTTTTTTTTAATCATGACTATTTATAGGAAGCTCTACTTCTACCATTTCCCCTCGTGCTGCACCCTTGCAGTTTACAACACCTCTCACCTTTGCACTATTCTATCCCCGTCCTGCCCTTTCTTTCCGCTTTCATCTCGTTTGTTCCGTCCCTGAGCACGTATGATGCACACCAATAGTAACATAATTAAAATAATACATGATCAGTCAACTATATTTCAATTTTTTCTTTTGCATGGAGATCCGCTTGTGTGACGGTTCAAGTCTCAAGATCCAACACCACCATTTCACTGATGCCTTTGTTGGATACTTCGCTGTATTCTTCTTGCTCTAAATCTCGCATGATTACAACCAAAACATACTACATAGTTGGGGCACTTTTAACTAGCGGCTGCTAGCACGTACTCATTTTTACCGTCGCCACCTGAAACTCCCCGTCGCCAGCTGCCATCGCCAGCTGGGTTAGGTTGCCATGGGAGCTGGTTTGAGAATCTCCATTTAGAGGACGACCTAATCAGAACGACATTCATTGGCCGGAGATTCCGGGCATCACCCCGCTTTCCGTTGGTATATTCCAAACGCGAAAGCGAGAGAATAAAAGCGAGACAGGGCTTAACATAAACACCTGTAGAACACACACCCTGTCCCGGTCTCCATCGTCACAGGATTCACGCCTGTCGTGTGTATATATGCACAAGAAAAGGCACAGTCAATTTCCAACGTCGATTTGCGTTCACGGAACATTGACAGCTGTCGACATACAAGGGATGCGCAGGATGTACTTCAATGCGGCAAAGGCAGCATCCTAAGATGAATCATTTGCCTCGTAAAGCTCGGAGGCTGTGCACTAACACTCATTCCAAACTCGGGTTTGCCCTCGAATTATGCTTATCACGGTATTCCGTTCACCTTACTTGCGGAGTGATCTAATGCTTTTTGCTGCAGGTCTACACGCTCTCACCACATTAGGTGGAGTAGACACGTCCTTCATGTGGACACTTCAATAATATGCTGCTTGTACCGTGAAAGCTTTACCAAGGACATCCGGCATGTGCACTTGTACAGCAACCCCTTCCTACCCCACCTTTGAGAAAGAGTACACACATCGTGCCGCCGTGTTTCCCGGCCGCTCCTCTAACGCTTTCGTCCACTTTCAGCGTAGCGCACGCGTGACGAGAGAAGATGTTATCGCGTTTAGCCTTCACACTTAACCGCTCGGTAAGACCTTTGTTGAATATTCACGGTGAGTACTCTTGAAGGTTCTGGCTCGATAAAACTCGTTATCCAGCACCCCATACGGAAGAACATGAGTTGTTAGACACAATAGTCGACTCGCACTTTATGCAAAGAGAACCCAACAAACCTAAACAAACACGGGTTCATATCTTACGTACATGAGCGAATGTTTACTCCCTACCACTACATAGTTCATTTAACATTATAATTTCGTTAAATATTTCAGTGAGCGAACACAAAGCAATCTCATGAAGAAAAACTGTCTAGGTTGTATAAACATGCACTAAGTTCCTTAAAAAATACGGCCGATATTTTGAAAGGTGCAACTAGCAGTTTCAACTATGTCTTACAGTGTTGGTGCATGAGCCTAATTAAAGGGGTTGCGCCATTCCAGTATCATAACACGAACTTTTCATTGGTGTCTGTCATCTGCAAATGGGAAAGCACAACGAAATTGTATTGGTCGTCGTCGCGTTGCTCATTCACCACCCGGACACAGCACGTTCAAGTATCGAGTGTTGTCAAAGACGCCTTGAATTTACGTCAATGACATATTCTTTTAAAATATCTCTTAAATTACGTTAGTACGCTAGTATTGTAGAGAACAAAAATACATAAATATATGTGTGTTCTTATCGCTTCTGGCTTGAAGGAAGAAAATGGGGCTTCTAAATTCACACTTTTTTCCTCCATTTGCGTATACGTCAAGCAGGGCAAGGCACCTTTTACAAATCATGAAGCTGCCAAAATAACCTGTTTTGGGCAATCCTGTAACTTCTACAACATAGAAAACTTCTATTCAGAAACCTCCACGTTATTATTACGAGAAAAAAAAAGTAACGTTTATCATCGCGTGATGTTCACTTAGCCAACAGTTTTCAAAGATGGATTCAACAAATAAGTTCCATATCAATAAAGGCTTGACGTATTTATTTGAGAGGAAATACAATTAACCGAGCTATCAGCAAAGCGTGGCATATTCATAAGAGTGTACGTGCTTCATAATTACAGTTTCTCAAGGAAGTATAACACCTAAAGCAACAGACAAGTGCAGATTTTTGCATGGTTCTCATTGTGTCCCTGGTGTTCGTTATTTGCTAATGTTTGTCTTATTTTGTGCGATAGTGTGTAGGAACACCGGCGGTGGCCGAAAACTTTAGAGTAGGGGTAAAGCGAAGTTTTCGGACAGCACATCCTCTAAATTTTCCTAATTACCTCTTTTTGAGGTTTGATCAAAATATATAATATCATCGATCTCGCAAATTTCTGGGTGTCATAGTCGACAGAGACATATCATGGAGCCCTCATGTGTCGTATTTGAAAAAAGCGATTGACAGGCATATGTCATCTTTTCAAGTTTCTCGCTGGAAAGTTTTGGAAAATGGAGCCTCATGCTATGTTACGACTGTACAAGGTGTTTTTCCATGGCTTTTTACGATACAGTCTGCCTGAATTATCAAACGCCAGCAAAACAAGTCGATGCATGATACAAAGCGTTCAGGCACAGGCGCTTCGAATATGTCTAGGTCTGCCTCAGGGTGCCTCAACAGTGGCGACTATAGCTTTAGCCAACGACCACCTCGTGCAGACTCCTATTGAAATCGAAGCTTTGAGGACACACATAAGGCATGTGAACCGGACCTAGCCTCTCTACCAGCGGATAGACCTCATACTTCCTTTTCTCCAAAAACAATTGCCCGCAGCTTCCCTCGGGGGGAACACTGAGGAGGATGCGGAGCATATAATTGGTTAACGGGGTGTTAAAGTGCGACTTACTTGGGTCGATGGCTAAATTGGTTAACGTGGTTGTGAAATGGGGTGTTAAATTGCGACTTACTTGGGTCGCTGGCTAAATTGGTTAACGTGGTTGTAGGAGGGGTGTTAAATGAGTGAACACGTACGACACGTATGCGAAAGGGCGGTGTTTATTTTATTGCGACGAACTTTGAGCACGATGGCTTTTAGATGCCACTTTGGCCGGCGCTGGTCGAAGGAGCGTCGATCATTGCGACCTCGGACGTCGACGAGCCGTACAAACCAACCGACGAGCGGCAACTGAGCGAGCGAGCACCAACCTTGAGTATATATACAGCGCGACGGCGCATGCACTGTCAGCTGTCGAATGTTCGAGAAGGGGGAGAAGCGCAACGGCGCGTGCGCGCGCGTCAGCTGCCGATGTTCTCGAAGCGCGACGGCGCATGCGCGCGCGTCAGCTGCCGATGTTCTCGAAGCGTGACGGCGCATGCGCGCTACATTATACAGCTAGCGAATGTTCGTGAAGAGGAGAAGCGCACGCGGTGTGTAGAGGAGGAAGGGTGCACAGATGGTGGAGGAGTGAAGCGCGCGCGGTGTGTAGAGGAGGAAGGGATGCACAGATGGTGAAAGAAGGAGGAGGAAGCTTGCGGACGGCGCCGCACTACAAGCCTCGAGTATTAGATGCTCCGCATCTAAAAATAACTGCACATGGTGACTCTCTACCTACTGGTTTTACGCCCGCGGTGAGACCTTCAGTTCTTCCATGGTGCCTCAAACAGCCAGTCATCAACCTGACAATACCAGGCATCCAGAAAAAACGAGATTTCTCAATGCCAGCCCTCAAGCAGCTCGCCTTACTTCTGCTGTACGAGAAGTACCAAGACTGCACCCACGTCTACATAAATGACTCCGTCCTGCAAAACAGCTCAATTGCGGCGGTCGTTATTCCAACGCACGCCACAACCATCAAGTTCAGGACAGCTCATGCAAACACAACAACAGCACCAGAGCTTGTGTCCGGTAGTATACCGGATACTAGCATCTAGTTTAACCTCCCTGCCTTTCTTTTTTTATTGTTTCTCTCTTGGTTGATCGTAATGCAGTGCAACAAAATAACATCTGCAAGAAATCATGATAGCTTTTCAAATCTTGCTATTTGAAGCCATAACCATAGTGTCTCCTACCACATTACTAGATAATGCTCTGGTCCTTGAATGACCGGTGTAAGTCCGCTGGTATTCCTTCGATCCACCAGGGGAATTGTGGCTACTACACAGATTTGTCTAATAATTGTCATGGTGGCTTCGATCCCACCTGTGGCTTTGTTTATTGTAGTATGTTCTCAGCACCGGCGTGTCTGAGTGGTAGACTACAGGGCTGCGACGTAGGGGACCCGGGTTCAGTTCTCATTGTTTTCTTGGTGTTCGTTATTTTCTAATCTTTTGTCTTATTTTGTGCGATAGTGGGTACGGACACCAGCGGCGACCGACAACTGCGGAGTGCACGTGACCCGTGTGGCGATATTATAACAGCTTTCACTGTAAAAAGTGTGACCGTGTTCTGTGACATTGTATATCAATATTGGGCAAGCACTTGGACGATAACACTTTCAAAAAATATCTAGAATAAAATGCTAGAGGAGGCTTAAAAGCTGTCGTTAAAAGCTGTACAGTGAATCTTTTCACGCAGGTCCCATCTCAGGAATCTTAGCACAACGCTTTCAGATCTCAACCCTACTTGTGGTCGGCTGTTTATTAGCATCTCTTCCTGTCTCTGCCAGCTACTTCGCCAGTGATGTGTCATTCCTGATCATAAGTCTGGGCGTCGTGCATGGTAAGAACAACTAATATATTATTCAAGATTAATGACACAGAACAATCAAAATGTGGGGTGGTTATAAAGGTGACCAATTCTAGAATTTCCGAAATGTTATTTTTTTTCAAAATTTTTTAGAAGGCGAATCATTGTGAAGCATCTCTGGCCACAACGGTTTTTGAAAGACTCTTGTCTTTTCTCATAATGTACTGAGTAGAACACCGGATAGCATTTATTTTTGTGATAGAAAAATAAAAATGTACAAAAACAAAGACACATATTGCCCATTCCATTGCGGAACACCCAGTCGTAGGTTTGTAAAACAAAAGAATTCTCGTTGCTGAAATGCATCAATAGCTGCAGACATCTACTTACAAAGTTCTCCGTAAGCTGGGCTTCATAATTAGGTTGTCGATTTATTTTCGTAACTCTCAGTGTCTAAAAACATCAATTACCCTCGAAATCGAGAGTAACCGCAAACATGGGTTGCAGAAGGCAACATTATTGAAATATGTGCAACACCCTGCACTTGCGTCTTCCTACGCGCTATCGCTGTATAAACGTGTACCTATTTTTGAATGGCCAGAAGCTGTTGACCCCACATTGTTAAGTGGTTATGACTTCGTGTGACGTTGCAGTTGGGAGAGTGTCGACCTAATAACGTGATATTGTGGGCACAAATGAGCATGTATGTTCAAGGCTAAATTCGTGTATGTGTAGTACCACGTACCAAAATATGGAACAAGGAAGCTGAGACTCACTTAGGCAGCTAATTTATCAACCTTTCTGTGCGGGCAAAATACAAGTAAGTGGGCCGAAATCAATGACATTTGTTGGTCACGTTGATGTTGCTACGAGGCAAAGCGCTAAAAGCGTGTTTGGAAAAGTGCGTGCAGCCAGAATCAAGGTTGATCCGTTAAATGGTTTAGACATAATTTATTGGTGAAGCCTGCGACAATTCATTAGCCGGGAAACTTGCAATAGGGCACAAGTTGTGTTTTTTTTAGTTTGAATTATAATATAACCATTTCTTCTAAAGAAATTCTTCTTTCAGTGCATGTTCAATGTGAAAAGTACATTAGCACAAACTCAAGATAATCTCAGACTGGTGGTTAGTCCTGGTTGATTTTTTTTGTTTTTAGGAAATAGTGATAAATGAACACACCCTGCTTCTAGAGTAGCATGCTAGGCAAAAAGCCAGACAAACATATCGAACTGTGCAAAAACACTTCACACACACACACACACGCTTTGTAATAAGAGCTTTATTTTTAACATCTTAGCATCTCAATAGCCAGATAAAGATACATTTCCTTACTTGTGCTAAGAACTATGCGTCAGTGCGCCAGGGTTCTCATGCTTGACTCATCGTCATAGCTTGAGTAGCAGCCGTTGTCTCGAACGCATCTTTCCACAAGCCTCACCTAGCGACAGCATGAACCAATGCCACGTTTAGGATGTCCTTAAGCATATATGTACACCAGCGTCGAAAGCAACCACAGAACTGATCACCGAGCTCTTTCAGCTGCTACCTAACAGTCCAGGCTTTTATAGCAAGGACACAAAATTTTTCTTTCTCATATCAGTGTGCAATTGTATTTGTTATAAGTATAGCATATATTTTAGTGCATTCTTTTTTACGCAGGGTTCGGCTTGTCTTTGCTGACGCTGGGCTACGCTGCCGTCAACCAGAGCGTGACTACGTACAAAGCACTCGCTTCGGGAATCACAATCGGTGGCAGTGTGGTTGGGGGAATCATCTTCCCGCCAGTGGTGCAGTTCCTCTTTGACGAGTACGGCACCAAGTGCGGCTTTCTCGTCTTCGGCGCAGTCATGCTGAACTCCACAGTGGCAGCGCTGTTCACAAGGACGCCTTGGCGAGAAACAACTGCTAGCGCAGGACTCGAGAAAAAGCGTGCGAATGTTCCTCAATGACAGTCTCCAATGTCGTGCACGCGTACTCTTACGAGTCCAACAGCGATACCCAAGCACTGAAACCCCATGACCATAAACACTGTGATACCGACTCATTAAGCATGTGTAAAGGGACAATGGCACTCGACACGTCTCTAGCATTGCAGTGATTGCGCGAAGACACGTGAGTGCGAAGCGCCTCTAAATACCGTTGAAAGTCCTCTGAGGAAGAAAACTTTTCCACAGAACACCTTGGCGAAGTGGCTCGTGTTCTTGAAGAATCCGAAGTTCTACGTTAGTTGCCTATAGCTTGGGTCAGATCTGGTACCTGAACACGACGCTCCTCACTGTCGTGGTGGACTACGCTGTGGAATGCGGTGTTCCCAAGTGGAACGCCGTCTCGCTCGTCACGTTCATAACAGTACCTGATCTCGTGTGCAGATTCGTTTCCGGGCCCATAACGGACAAAGGGCTTCTTCGAAAGAGTACCATGATGGCACTGTGTCTAACCGCGAACGGAATCGCGCATTCGTTGCTTCCGCTCTTCGCATCCTACCATGCGCTGGCGGTACTATCAGCGATGGCAGGTACCTGCAACGGCATAGCTGTGACACACATTTTCGTGCTGTGCGGTGAGCTGGTAGATCCAGCAGTGTTCAGCCTGTGTCTGGGCGCTGCCAATTTCGTGGCCGCGTTCGCACTCCTGGAGAGGCCACTGATGATTGGTAAGACTGTGCCACATATCCTGGCTCACTTTCCATGACCTTGTTTGCAATGCGAAAGTCGTATTGACTTTTCCTGTTTCCGAAAGCTTGTTGAACAACTTCCACTTTACAAATTATGCATGTTTTGAACATTGTATAGCAGAAGTACAAGGAGGTAGTTTGCTATACGGCCAGAAATCGGACTTTTTTTGGATGTAGGCCTACTTTTGGCAGGCAGTGCCATTGTGTCTGGTTTAGGCCAAGGCATGTCCTCACGTGTTCGACTGTAGCCGCAGATTATGACGACGATATGTGGGATTTAATGTCCCAAAACCATCATACGATTATGAGAGATGCCATAGTAGAGGGCTTCAGAAGTTTAGACCATCTGTGGTTATTTAACATGTACTCAAATTTTAGCACACGGGCGTTCAGCATTTTGCCTCCATCAAAAATGCAGCCACCGCAGCCGGGATTTGATTACGGGATTTGCGGGTCAGCAGTCAAGTACCTTAGCCGCCAAACCACCGCGGCTGGGCTTAAAGCCACAGACCCTTGATGTGAGAAATACGGGCAGGTGTCAACACAGGCAGATTTCAATGGCCCTATAGTGTAATAAAATAAATATAAAAAAACTACAGGCAAATTTCGGTACATTAGGAGGCTGAGTGTATTGTTGGTGAGAAAGCACGGGTGACTTCATCGAAAAAAAGGTATGGTATGCATGGCTATAAAGTAACTTTATTTAGGTCCTATTGGGACGTGAACTAGCACGCAGCGGGCCGCCTACTGGTCATGACAGATTAGGCCTAACCGGTCCGCCACGTCGAAGGCCGGTCCATAGAAAATATTAGGTGCACGAACGTATGGTAAACAGGCATATCCTATGATGTCTGTTTCAATTGGAAGTATAACCTGTGCCAGCGAACTCGAGCTTTTTGTGAAACACTCAAAATGCTAAATGAGTCCTGAAACTTTTTTCTTTAGAGTTATTCAATGACCAGAATATTCGGAGTTGTTGACATGACGGATATCTCCTGCCAATTTCTTTTGAGAATATTCCCCAGGCACGTGTGGGCTTACAGCTACTTCTCAGAAGACATAAGTGTTTTCGTTCTGTTTTCATCCAACGAGAGCTATAAAAGCTAAACAGGAAGACAAAAATCACTAAATTTCTCTGTCACATTTGCGTTTTTCTCCTGTTCAGCCAGCTTTACTAATGATATAGTACCCATCGTGATTTGCCCATATATGTTATTACGAATATTTTAACGTGAGGTATTCTGGGAATATAATCCTGGACATCCAAACAAGCTTAAAAGCTTTTTGCAGCAGCATCTTTGCAACACAATACCTATTGTTCTGGCTTTGCATTTCTACGTGACGAAACCGAAAAAAAACAGTGAAAGCATTTTTTGCTGCAAAAAAGCTGGTTGTTTGACATTTTCTTACTGCTTTTACAGGAAAAACACATGTGCAGGTTTTACTTGTTCATACATTCTAAGAAAATTCAAGAAATGTTCCACCTACTCTTGCAATGCTGCAAAGAATTTGGAACCCGTACAGAACAACCATTTCGTGAAATTCACTGAATCCCTCTTTTTGTATGTTTTTCACTGTTTGTATTTTTTCTGTGAGCGTGTCAGATGCCTAAAACATGATGCTACTTTTGAAGTCTTTCTTGAATAGTCTTTGTGTTCATTTATTTGCAAGTATTTTCAATGATACAACTGTGTCATTGAAGGAGTCATGTCTTCTTTTTGTTCACTTTCAGGTTACTGTAGAGAAAAGCTCGGAAGCTACGATGGCCTGTTTTACTTCAGTGCCAGTGTAGCCTGGAGTAGTGCGATTCTCTGGCTTATCGTATACCTTCATGAGAGGCGAACGACGGGTGCAAAACTGCTTTCAAATGCAACTTCTCGTTGATGCCTACGTTATGCTAGGTTAAATAACAATAATCCTAAAGATCACACGTCCGATTTAGCTAAAAGCCTGCTTGCGTAGTGGACGAACTATTTTATTATCTGAGCATGAAACCATAATTATTATGTTTACAAAACACCGCAAGTAACTTGCAAGAACATTGCAGAGCCGTAGAATAAATGTTCCCCGAACTACAAAGAAAATATAAGATAATACATAAAGACTGTATTGCCTATAAAACAACAAATGTACAAAACACTTCAAAAAGTTGAAAGTTTAAACCTTATAAGAGTGGCTTTTTAAAAGAACTTTTTAAATGTACAACTGCAATATTTTTCGTTTATAAAGTCGAAAAACCACAATGTGAATATAAGAGCTGGCGGAGTGAAACGTTTCCCAAGTTTCCACCACGTTGCGTTATCTTTAGCGCACCTAACTCAAAGTACACACGCCTTCAAATGTGAGCTGTTGTTACTATTTAAACGAAGGCTTTTCAGGTACCTCATATATGACTTATTACTATGGAATATTTTAAGTCAGGTTTTTTAATCACATCAACACTGGAGTGCCAAGTCACGGAGCGCCAAGCCACTCTTCAAGTAACGTTTTTTTCCCCATGAACCGGTAGGGAGTGTAAATTTGGTGCTTTGGTAAAGGAAGCTTTGGGCCGCTAAGAAACCATCTCTTGAGCCTGAAACATTTCAAAATGAATGCGTCTTTTGTGCTTGCCTACCAAATTGCTTCTTAGTGTGGGTACCACTTGAGTACGGGCTGAAATCTTATGAACTCACTTGTGAAGAATACTAAATAAACTGAGCAATGTTTTCACGAAGGGAAAGGAAACGTCATAAGCAACAATCTTACACCCGTATGAAGTGGGCAAGTTGAGCATGTTTACGTGGTGCGCAGTTCGGTAAGCCCCGCCACGGTGGTCTAGTGCCTAAGGTACTCAGCTGCTGACCCGCAGGTCGCGGGTTTAAATCCCGGCTGCGGCGGCTTTATTTCCGACGGAGGCGGAAATGTTGTAGGCCCAAGTACTCAGTATTGGGTGCACTATAAAGAACCCCAGGTGGTCAAAATTTCCGGAGCCCTCCTCTACGGCGTCTCTCATAATCATATGGTGGTTTTGGAACGTTAAACCCCACAAATCTATATCTATCGCAGTTCGGTAAAGTGTGTTCTGTATCTAATACATGAGGAGTAAGGCGTCCTGGATATAAGATGTAACTGTTGCATTCAAAAGAGGTCGCTATTACTGTAGATTTTATGTTCAGACATGCAATTCACAATTGGAGCATTTCAGTGTGTTCTATTTCTGGAGTGACCTGCATGGTTGAATGACACATGCAGCGTGTCATGTGTAAATTGTGACATGGTATAAGACATGCATGGCCTGCCGCTCAGCTTGCTAAACAAGGCCAGTGGAGTGTCACAGAAGACTACACTCCGGTTAGAGTGCGTTTTACACTGAGCTGCTTGTGATTCGCAGTAAACTTGGAATGCTTGTATAAGAGGCAAATCCATTTTCTGAAATAACAGGATCACCTTGTTTTTATTTGTATTTCAACGTAAGACAATCACGTTAATATTTTTTGTTTTTTTTCATCTAAGCTTTAAAAAAAAGAAACCTGCGTTGCGATTTCTTCTTTGCTATAACCGTGCTATTGCATAACTATACTACGGACTCCATTCCATTGAAGCTTCACAGAAAGTTGAGAAGCACACTCTGCATTAGTGCAGTTTTCCGCTTGCAGCAGGTATTATTTCCATTCACTATTGACAAAACTAGATATTCGGACCATGGAGAAGCAGATGACTGTATCAATAATAAATAAAAACTTGGATGGCCCTTGAGCTTCACAAGAAAAAGTCGAGTGCGATAGCGCGAGCCAGCTTTGTGCGCGTCGCATTCTCAGTTGCTAACCTGGCTTCGACTGTTTTTTGCATTTTCATCAACCGTGCAGCAAAAGAACGAATAACTGTGCCGGTCACATTTGCCTTTTCAAGCTAGCCTTTTCACTTTGGCCTTGTGACGCCCAGTTTTTTTTTTTAGAATGAATACGTACCAACAAGCTCAGATGTGTTATTCTAAGTGAAATTCCGTTTTAATAGATTGAGCTCATGTTCGGGACAGAATATCCTCACACAGAACATTGAAAAGGTCAGCAAGAGCTCGTGTACCAGCTCGCTTCTGCAAGCTGTATACATGAAGAACAAATTGCCAGCCCCATACATTGCATAATAGGGAGCGCAGATAGAGGCACTGCAACGAACCATCTCGAAACCCCATAAAAAGACTCCTGCGCGCGCCATTGACATTGTTACCTCGGAGTTAGGGCACAACAGGTGTGGCGCTGACCGGGTGACGGCGGTGACTTGATAAAGTCGCCATAACCTTCACAGCGCTTTCAGCCTCGGGCCAGTAAAGATAAAGGATATTCGTATTCACATGTCTCATCTGTCTGAAGTACACCCTCCTGGCTTGCAACATTTAGTGCGATGAGGTTTAAATTTATTGTACTCTACCTAAACGTGCTCCAAGAAAATTTTGAAATGCTGCATGGGCAGCTTCTCGCCAACGGAACACGCCGTTAGATTTGATATGATTGATATGTGGAGTTTACCGTCCTAAAACCACCATATGATTATGAGAGACGCCGTAGCGAAAGGCTCCGGAAATTTTGACTACCTGGGGTTCTTTAACGTGCACCCAAATCAGAGCGCGCGCGCCTACAACATTTACGCCTCCATCGGAAATGCAGCCGCCACAGACGGGATTCGATACCGCGACGTGCCGGGCACGCTGTTGGAGCTACAGCAAGGACTTGCTGCGCTATTTGTGATTTCGGTACCGCTAGCCTTATTGGTCGGTAAATCTATTACATGTAAATGATAAGCGTTGAAAAACCCGGTCCTTTTGACAAGTGCTAGAAGGCATGTAACGCTAGCATAGTGGCGTCATTAGGTTATATCGTGAACGCAATAGGCTTTGGGGCTTAGTTGCAAAGGATACCGTGCTTGCACCGATAATGGGATACTTTTTTCCACCGACGCGCTTCCCTGAAAAGCTGCCAGTCCAACGCGAGCACCTAATGATCTGCAAAAAATGCTAATATAGCACGACGCCATGCAATGTTGTGATGAAGTACAGGCTATGCAGCACCTTCCGCACTGATAAGAAGAGAGCGTTGCTTTTACTAAGGTCATTGCAAACGGATGTCCATTAAGACACTGATAGAAAGACACAAACCTGACGGCCAGATTCTGACATTAAATCCTCGGATAGCCGTTTTTCTCAAGTAGAGTTTGCATACGCTTTGATATTTTCATTAAAATACTACTGGCACGAAGAGTAAATTCTGGAGGTGAAGATAATGCGCGTACTCGAATTCATGATAAGCAGTTCCTCTCATTCAATAACAATAAGCAGAAAATTAAGTCTGATGACTGAGTCTGCCACAGTAAAAAAAAAAAAAACACCATCTCGTGCTGTCGCGAAGCTTGCGTAGATGCAATGCACCGGCCACTAATGCTTACAATGGCGGCGACGTTACAGCGAAAGATACACTTGTTCGCAATGAATGCAAAGCTTAAAATAAAAAGAACTGAGGTAGATTTTGCAGTAGGGTGATAATTGAAGCATGCAAATGCCAAGGAGAAGGCAAAGAAGGCCAAATCTATATTTCAATTGTTCTGAAACACGCCCTCGGTTCAGGGGTGTTAATCTGGTCGACGTTCGTGCGATCACTTCGAAATCGCGTTCAACTGTATCTATCGTTTGACTCTGTATCTTTCGACGACCGTCACTCCCCTCAAGACGATCGGGCAAGAAAAGTTTTAAACGAGGTGATAAGAAGCGTTGTCTGCTGCACCTTAAGGGTATTATCGATCCAATCCGAACCTTCTCTATGGTTTAAAGCACTCGTCATCACTAAGGCGCTTCTTTGCATGTTTGCGCCTGAGCAAACAGGGTACTGAAGACGTCCCTCATACCCGTCATCGGGATGGCTTGTTCGCTGGGATGGGTGGTAGTCACGGCGGCGTCCTCTATAATTTTGTTGACGCTTGCCCTTATGAGGTTTGATGCCGTCGTGTAACGTTGGAATCACCAGCACATTTGGAGTATCGCTGGAGGATGCCTCCAGGCCGACGTATCTCGCTGCCGTCTTCAACGTGTTAGTAGGTGAGCTGGCATAACTTCTACTCCTGATAGAACAGTGACGTCCATGCACATGTTTTGGGACACACAAGCGGCTATCTATCAGTCTGCGCCCTCATTTTCTCAGCGAATGCTCGTGCCTCGACCTAGCAACCATATTCAAAGCCAAACATCTCTAGATGAACCAGAGGCACTGCGATTCTTTCTTCATTTATTTCTTTTGTCCTTTTTTGTTTTCTCGCCCGGCTGCATTTTCGATGGAGACGAAAATGCTGCAGGCCCGTGGGCTCAGATTTGGGTGCATGGTAAATAACCCCCGGTAATCGAAATTTCCGGAGCCCTCCACTACGGCGTCTCTTGTAATCATATGGTGGTTTTGGGACGTTGAAGCTCGCAAATCACCATCTTCTTTGTTTTCTTTATTTGCGTCTACGTTTATATTTCCTCGTCGTCACCGCCTTAGCCTGGTATATACCACACTAAGGAGGTGATAAAGAACCATAAGAAGACACAGATAGAATGCGAGTATAAAGGCTGTTCCGGCAGAAGTTGCATGGTGTGCCTGTAGGCTGCATTATGAAAGCATTTCCAGCTGGGACGAAGACTTATACTAATGGCCGCAGCACGCGAGTACGAGCCGTGCATTATTCAGTGTACGTGTTCACCCTATACTTTGGAAACTTGGATGTGATAGAGTTAGAAAGGACGTGCGGCAGAAAGTCCAGTGTTGGCGACGTTGGGCTTATCGCGACGTGAGAAGCGGCGATTTGCGCGAAGACTAAAAAGATGGTCCTTTATGTTTTTTTTTCTTAAACTACCAGAAGGCGAATACCGCCTGCTTCGCAGTCGATTCTTGGGATCCCGCCTGAGATATTCCCGCAACTAACGTGGTTTTAAGGCAGCACTATTAAGGTTGAAGATGACTT